AACATCACTTGCCTGGCATTGCTCTTGGTCAGCGGTTTGCCGCAGCTGTTCAGGCGCAGTCCAGAGCAATTCTAAGAAAGMGARTATCAAAGTATGGAAWGYAAAAGAATRAYAGAGAGTAAGTTTTTGCTTAATTATATTACAATTTTCATTTTCAAAATACACAAAATCTCGTAAGGGTGCCCATGAAAACTCTACTTTACAGTGCTATTACCAGAGAATATTCCTTGCATCTCTAAGTCTGATACATTGCTTTCTGGAGTCCTCAAACTGCCAAGTCCAAAGTCCGCAACTTTGCAAATCCAGTAGCTATCCACCACTATGTTTGTTGATTTCAAGTTACCATGGTAATTGATCGGGCTCTTTTGAAGTTCTTCCATTCCCTGTTAAGTATTCAAGTAATAATCACACGTTCTGAATACACCACGTACAAATCAATCGAGCAGTTTGTAATTAATTTAAAGCCATAAAGACCAGTTGAAATTTGTACAAGTCTGGCTGGCAGAGCAGCCTCCCCCTTTCCCTTCCTCAAGCTCCACCTCCTCATTCCCAAATCCCGGACACCGCATACCCGTGCAATATCCATGGAAAATGACATCTTGAAGTTCCAGTCCAAGTTCAGATACTCGTCATACAGAATATCCTGAATAGAAGATAAGAGATTTTTAAAATTTTTCAAAGATTTTTGAAAAGACTCACGAACATCCAAGAATCTTTGTGATCACTTATTTTGTTAAAAATAAACTCTTTTTGAAAGGGTTTTTTTATCAATGATTTTAACATTAGTCTCCTGACGCATCAATTATCTGGCTCGTTCCCATGTCTCTCCCAGCCAGGAACAATCCAAATAACTGCTGCGAGAGGAGACTAGCATTAACCTTACCTGTAATCGTCCTTTGGTGCAGTATTCAGAGATAACATAGTCGTCTAATGGAGCGAGACATACGCCGATGTACGGGTTGATATTCACGTGYCTCAACTCACACGCCTAAACCAAAAATAAATCAATTGAGCTTCTAATAATGTTGTTTTCTGTTAATGATAATTTAATGCATATGACATGAATGGCCGCTAAAGCCGTGTCTACACGAGGGACTTTTTTTGCGTGCGCAGGCGACGCGATAGTACCAAAATAGGGATCTAGTATATTCAGCCGATCTTGAAAATATTATCTATCTGGTCCAGCTGTTAAAAGCTCGATTATTTTATGGAATTTTTTTGTTGTTGTTCTGTTTACCTGTCGGATATCAGTCTTTACTTGACTTGTTACAAGTATTTCGTGTCTTAGATGCTTAACATAAACTGTTTTACCCTGATAAACGATGAAAATAAGGATGAATAATTGACA